ACCTTTATCCCTTACTCTGATTAACCTTTGAACTTCATAAATTAGACAAAACTATAAACAATTTTTTTTTTTTTTAAGAAAATAGGTCAATAGAGAATATAGATTTTATCTAATAGAAGAAAAGCATATACTGAAATGAGTCTTTCCTAAAAGCGTGGTCAAGGAACCACAATACTTCAAGTGTTTTATATATATATATATATATATATATATATATATATATATATATATATAATATTTATTATGATTAGGGCTAATTAGAAATTATATTTAGCATCATATTAACATGAAAAGATTAATATATAATGTAAGATTTCTGTGACAGAATCATGAGAGAACTAAACCATTTTAGAAATGCTAATTCATATCTATATATCTGGAATATGAGCATTAATTATATATTACTGTTGATATTTGTCGACACATTAAATAACCTAAAAATATATTTTTTTTTAAGGAATATATAAAGTAAGGTTTGAGAATTTGTATATGAATCTCTTTGTACTAATGTCTTTGTCTTGGTTGTTAATCATGATGGTTTGACCTTTGTACTTTATGGCAGTCTTCAGCTTTAAATGTTGTGACTACAAAAACCAAGATCAGCATACAGGTCTAGAAGCATGCATGATAATAATTCCCCATTTTAGAAAATGAAATCAATATTCAAAAAATAATGTAATTTATTTTCACCCATGGTTAATCTACAAGAGAGTTTACAGGACTTCTTACATCAGACATTTTCAAGTTTGTGAATTAAATTTTTTAAAAAAATTAGAAAAATTTTATCTCAGAAACTAGAAAATTAGTAGAAAATACATTCTAATGATTTTTATTTATTTTTTTTATTTATTTATTCATTTTTTTTTTTTTTTTTTTTTTGTAACTACATTTAAATAAATCTTTTACTAAAACCCATTTTGCTTAAAATGGATTACTGCAGTTATAAACACTAGGTTTTGGTTTTCTATTAAAAAGTTAAGTTCCATGTTCTTTGATCATTGAATAGGCATTGGTATAGTAAAGGTTTTTAAATGCAGTTTGTTTTACACGTGAGAACTAATAAGACAAGATATAGCAAATATTAAATGGTTATGCAAACCATTTTCTTTAATTTCTAATATTAGAAAATACAGAGAACTTTTTTTTTTTATTTCTACTTCCATCTCTTTTACCTAATTAATACTTATCAATTTTTATATAGTCACCTGACTAAAGAACATAAATTTGTGTGCTTTATTCACAATGTATAACTGATTACACTATTTAGTTCAGAAGGAACCCTATATTAAATAGTGGTAATATCTCTGCAGTAGGAATTAAAAGCTTCATCTTGGAATTAAGTGTTTCACCAGACACTAGAATGTATGTCTTGAGGCAAAATTAACTTCAGCAAGAGAAATGTTTTTTGTTTGGTTAACTATTTGAGGATTGGTCTAGGAGAGCAAAAAAGACCTAATTTAGTAAGAGCTGCAAAACACAGGAAATTGTGGAGAGTCATGATTGTAATGTTCTGAATAGACAGGACACATTTCCTTTTCTTTTTTTTTTTTTTTTTTTTTTTTTGTAGGGAGAATTTAAAATTTGAATTAATAGACATTTGTGTTCATGGCGTAACTCAATAAATTAGTTAAAAGCGTCTCTTCATTTAATAACTTCTCTCTTAGAATCTTGAACTGGATAGCTTTTCTAATTATGTTAGGTAATTGCTGTTATAATTATAACTCGGTTTGATGGTTAAATTCTCTCATCTTTTCTTCCACGTACTGAATTTATAAACTTCAGGGTTCTAATTTCAAATGGAAAGAATGTTTTTATTTTTGAGTTTTATAAATATACATTGTGAAATTTGAAATTAATTTAACACCTATATTTTTATAGCTTTTTTTTTTTTTTCTTTCCTTTTGAAACAATCTGGGCAAATCGCTTTCTGAGATACAATGCTGTTGATAAAAATCAGAGGAAAATATGTCTTAATTAGAATCCATATTAATATTCCATCATTTCAAATAAACCGTTTTGATTTGACAGCATTTGTAAGTTTGCATTATTGATTAGAGTGGTGGGTGTAAGTCCTTTGCTCCATTCTGGGTACAATTTTGTTGAGGTGATTTGCTTTCAATCGAAAGTGAAATCTTCATCAGAGTGAATGATATAGCAATTCTTAAATCTGTACTATGTGAATTCAACACTGAAGTAGTAATATCGCCAAAAAGGTTAATTTGTTAATGCATGACTGAATAAATCTACTTTATCAAAACAGTAAGATTTCACTATACATTCTTTACTATGAACCTCTTGTAATTTTATGCACCTTGTTGCCCTCTCAAATACACTTTTAAATAATGGGTTGTTATTTAACAAAGTATTTGCAGAAATTATAGTTTGTGCAAACAAAACAAAATTTCTGAGTTTTGTCAGCCAATTATTATAAGTTTTAAAAAATTTTTTAATAAGGAGTTTATAAAATTAATTTTAGCTGCACATGCTAAATTGGAAGCTTTTGTTATTTTATCAGCAAAAAGCTCATATTTGCAAAGGTTTTGTTATATTGAAAACCTAGCATATAAAGAGATAGTGTTACTTTCTGGCTTGTCAACTTTGACTTTTCTTATTGCTCAATCAAGCTAATTTGCTTTTGCTGAAATTAAAAAAAAAATGTTAACAGCTTTTAACTCGTGTGTGTATATATATATATATATATATATATATATATATATATATATATATATGTGTGTGTGTATGATCCTCATCAGTTACATTTGTGTCCCTTCAACACCCACAGAGCCAACCTGTGATTTATACTGCAACTATGCTGAGTGGATTTTAGTTAATTTCTGGGGGAGAGAACATAATCTGGCATGACCAACAACTTTGAATAAGACCAGTATGCTCAAAGCCTTCAGTCTCACATGCAGTGACAGCTCCAAAATTTTATACACTATCAAAAATTGCTGTGGTAACCAAAAACTGAAGTGAATGATTGAAACACAAAATTAATCATTAAACATAAAACTAATTACTTTACAAATTCACTGAAATTATTCAGAATTTCAATGACTACTTTTGAACTTTACATAGTGTTTGTTACTTTTCTTTGTTGACACTATATGCATGCAATTATATATAGATACATACATTTTCCAAGTAATTTTCTTTTGAAGAGAATGAACACTAAGGATAATAAATTAAAAAGTTTATAAATTTGATAAATTTATATATTATGCATGTCGTTTTTTTTTTTTTTTTTTTTTTTTTTTTTAAAGGTGTGTCATACTTCAAAAGCTGAAGAATATTAAAATTTCATCTACTCTTAAGAGATAAAAGAGAAATAAAACTCCGGACTGAAAGCTTATCTTTCATTGCTATCCTTTCCCTCTTTCTTCACTTAATTTTCTTTTAATTTTCCTCTAGCTTTCTTACTTACCCTCTACCTTTCATCCTCCACGTGTTCTCTATCTATTTCTTGGCATTTTCCCAATTTTGTCATCCTATGGAAATGATTAAATAGGCAGTTAGCATTTGTGCATAAGACTTTCCACAAGGTGTAGAAATATGCTGATACTCGAAAGTGCTGATTAATATGTAAATAATCTATTTGAAAGCTACTATAAATGCAAAAAAAGATGTCAGTAAAAACTATTTCCTTTTTTTTTTTTTTTTTTAAACCAAAAGTTTAGACAGTTATTAAATAATGTGATAGGAATTGAGGGAATAATGTTGATTAATTTTACCATCAATGGAAAACTAAAGCTACCAATCAGTACACAGGATTGTATCTGTAATGAAGAATTATTCGATAAATTTTGTTAATTCTTCATGGTAAGAGAACTCTGCTAGAAATGTATACATAATCAAAAGGTTGTATTGGGAAGTGTCTTTAAGATAGTCTGATTATTTTAAGATGCAATTTCCAAAGCTTAGATGTGACACAAAGCTGAAAGTATGGAGCACCCAGTGAAGATTGAACTCCCTACTCAGTTGTAGTTGTTCTCGCAAGACAAGCTTGCTAACCACTATACCACGTTGAAGAACCCAACACACACAGACAGCAGCTGGGAATAAATCTTCTTTCCAACAAAAGTGCAGTTACATTGAGTGCATCTTTATCAATACTAAAAGATATTATCCTTGCATTTACTTCTAAAATCTAATATTGAAAAGAACAAAGAGAATATTCGTTACATGAGAAGATGGCGGTGTGGAAATTTCTCAAGACTTAAATTCTTAAAGAATTTCCTTTTTTTTTTTTTTTTTTTTTTTTTTTTTTTTTTTTTAAATATATATATATATTCTTGCATGTTTCTTATATCTGACCTTTCTTTTAAGACAGCTCCATTTCTAGATGGAACATACTGCCTAAAGCAAAGGTATTTTCATATGTGCCAATATATTCTCTGAACTTGGCCAGAGCCTATTAAAATAGCTGTTATTAACTAATTACAAAAAAAGGGTTTATATAATATATAAATATATATATTTCATTTTCTTTGAAAGACAGTTTTGTTTGATGTTGGTTCTAATTTGATGCTTGTATTTATGTAGACCATTTGCTGATATTTCTTTACCATGCTATGGGTTTAAAATTTTTGTAATTCTTTCGCAAGTTGACATCTGTTTATAGGTTTGTAAGATAACGAATTTTAGGGGATATATAATACTTGCTAATATCACTGCAAAAACATTGTCATTGAAAAAGAAAATATTGTTGATATATGACCCATGTAGCTGCTGATTTGCTAAAAAGTATTTTATGTATATTGCTACTCATACATTTACTGTACAACATAAAGGACTTTTGCACATTTTGTGTTTGAATATGCCATATGCTTTGTGGCATCTTTTTCTAAATTTCTGTAATATTAGTGACAAAGCAAGTTAGTTTCTGTTGATTTGAATACCTTTTCTTTTTTCTTTCTGTATTTTTTTTTTTTTATACCCCTCTCTCATTCTCCTTAAGACAAATTTTAATTTCCCTCTTTCTCTCTTGCTTCTCCTTTCAGACGATAGTTTAAAAAATCTTGATTTCAAAGAGGAACTTACATTGATGAGAAAACGTCAGGAGTTGCAGAGGGCATTAAATAATTTGCCTGCACCGCCTGATGAACAAAGAGAAAATTTAACAATTGAAAAGAAAGTTCGACGACATATTCTTCCTGGGGAACATTCTGTTAGGGTAAGAGCAATTACTTAATTGCCTGCATAAATATGATGCTTTCTGGATTGTTTTTATTTTTTTTTATTTATTTATTTATTTATTTTTTCTTTTTTTTTTTTTTTTTTCTGGATTTTAAATTAGTTTTGTTGTTCAAGTTTCTGTTAACCACCCACCCACCCCTCATCCCACAGTGCGACTCATTCCTATGCCTTTTCATTGTATTTCACCAAGGCCGAGTAGCTTAGAGGTTTTTGTCATATGATAACTGTTTACAATTTCTTTTAATATTCCCTATCCATTTTGTCATTTCAGCATCAGATCTGTTGACTCCTGAATAAAATAGGTACTTAGAAAATAGTTTATCCATACTATTAAAAAATGACAGCATATTTTAAGTTCTTACTATTAAGTTTTAATGTTTTTCATTATATACAAGAGGGAAGTCAAAAATTATCCTCACCTTCAATATACCATGTCTTTTAGACAAGAATGCAGATAATTTTTGACTTTCCCCCACGCACACGTGTGTGTATATTTATTTGACAAAAGGAAAACTTAGCTGACGTGTTTTATCCTCTGACCGACTTTATCAAGGCAAATGTGATGATTTTTTTTTTTTTTTTTTTTTTGCAGAGATAAGATTTTCTTTTTTCTTTATTCATGTTGTCCTTTTATGAATATATAGTTATAGCTGAAATTTTTGCACACAAACATATATTTATTACTTCAAATGTTATTTTTAATGGATACTTGTATCTGAGTAAACAATTTTTTTTTTTTTTTTTTTTTTTTTTTTTTTTTTTTTTTTGTGTGTATTTGTCTACCTGTCTGTACACTTGAGAAAACTTTAAAAAAATGTGCCCTCTGACAGGATTCAAACCTTCATCTTCTTTGCATGTGGAACCACTGTTTGTTCCAGCATTCTTTAACTGCTTGCCTATGGAGAGCTTCACAGTCAAGCAGAGTTCTATTTGCATTCATTCAGATTTCCTTGGAAGCTGTACCTGCTCAGTTTTTGTATCTGAAACATGAACAAAGTAATTTTTGAAGAAATAATGGATTAAGTTTTCTCGAGTGCACAGAACAATACATGAAATAAACTCTTTTTTTTTTTTTTTTTTTTTTTTAAATGTATTCTCAAATACAGATATCCACTAAAATTAACATTTGAATAAAAATGTTGGCTTAAAAATAATCATTAATTTATTATGAATGTATGTATATCAACCATAGATTGATTATCTAAGATCAGTGTAGTATCTGTGTGCTCTGCTTATCTTAGTATTTACAAGTGAAATTTACCATTATTTACAGTCGAACAAATGTCCTCATCTTTGTTATTAACTCAGTGTTTCAGCCATTGTGTTCTCTGGTCTTCTTCAGTTGAATTTTAAGCTGAACACTTTATTTAATCTACGGAGACAGATTGTTCTCATCCCACTGTCCATGTCTAGGGATGTCTTTATTGCTCAGTTAATGCCAGTTCTATTTCCACTGAGTGTGTCTGCGCTACCTGGCTCAAGGATTGAACTCACAATTATTATGCCACCAAATTCCTAAACCAATACTTTCATTTTCTAGACTATCGTCCTTTGTTTGGATTGGGAATTTGATGGTATCGTAATAATCATGAGTTCAATCCCAGGTAGTACAGATCCACTCAGTGGAAACAGGATTGGCAATAGCTGAGCAGTATTTAAAAGAAGAAAAAAAAAACTTATTCATAGACATGAACAGTGGAATGAGGATAATCTCACTGTAGATTAAATAAAGGCATTAGTTTAAAATTCCATGAAGATTACCTAGGTCAGCAAACATCTTAAAAAAGCTAGGAGGTTTAGTGTTTGAAACCTGATAACAACAACAAATATAAGAAAATTACTGACTATAAATCATTTTAACTCTTCATTTTACCAAACAAAACTATGGTTTAGTAGACATTTCACTTGCTGGGTTACCTCCACATTGGATATCTGATTTAGTGCAGGATTACATGCGCGCACACACACACACACACACACACTTGGTTTGTTAGAGCAAAAAGTTAAACACAAATTTAAAAAACATGCACAATATTATTTCAATAACTTATATCGTTCAAGAATTCTGAATTAAATTTTATTCCCCTTTTAAAATGTTGGTAATAACACACTTCGGTGTGTTATTTTTAATAATGTGTCCTCCCACCCAAAAAATTATATACCCAGGAATTTATATTTTGTTTTGTACCCAGACTAATCATTGGGTGATAGATTAGTTCCAAGTGAAAGGAAAAGAAATCTTCTACAAAGAGCTGAGGTGTGAGCAGGGCATCTAGAAATAGAATCTTTAGAATAGTTTCTTTAGGGTCTGCTGAATATGAGTGCTACTTTACACCAATGCACTTTGATACTCTGTCTACCAAAACGATGATAACATTTAAAAAAAACTGATAACTCTGGGATCAAATTAACAGATATGAAATGGAGCTAATTCTAACATTCCTGCAATTATTATGGGTTTGATTGAAAGCAATGATGCAATGGTAACTCTGAAAATCAAAAGAAAACTCGGATGGAATTAAGAATTGGGCTTTAGGAATCTCTGTTATATTTACATTTTTTTCTCTCTCTCTCATTTGTTTGTATAGTCTTACAGTTTTTTTCCTTGTTTTGGAGAACGACATTTATAGAGCATAGCATGACTTTTATGAATGGCTGTTGTTTGTCTTGTTGGTGAAGTGTATTAATTGATCTTTGAGTTGGGATCGAATATAGATCAAAATCCAACAGAATAATATAAAGAACAAATAGTAAACGTTTATCAATCTAACATGTTTCACTTTCATTAAAGCTTCATCAGAGAATGAGATATGGAGAAAAAGAAGGAAGTGATTTTGGTATTTTTACTCCTGTGTTTGATTTTCATTGGTCAATCATGTTTCACATGCATTTGACTAGTTAAATATTAGTATAATTTGTGGCATTCTGAATTTAATTGGTCCTTTTTTGTTGGTTATGTTTACTTCAGAGCTCAACTAACATTAGCAAATTCAAGAAATATGCTGAGCAGATGCAATTGTTTAATTCAGTTTGAAACCAAATTTTTTTTTTTGCAGAATCATTTTAACTTGTTATTAATTAATAATGGATAGGCACTTATCTCTTGACTCACTTAACTCTTGTTAATCAGTATCTTTCAAGATGCCAGTTTTTGTGTTTGTTAGAATTATGAGCAAAGAAATATATTAAATTTGATAGTTTTGTGTTTGTTTCTTTATTAAAACTTTTGGTAAGCCAGGCCAGTAAATATCACTTACACTGCTTTAAAAAAAATAAAGTAAAATGTTAAAATCAGGAATATTTACACAAACCTGTATCCACTAAATAAGACATTTATAGTTTACACTATTTACATGTAGACTATTGTCATTATTTTGTTGTTGTAATACCAACAATAAAGGTGAGAATAATAGTCTGTATATAAATAACACATATCCCAGAAATCCAGACAGAAATAACATATATATAGACACACACACAGTGTAACTCAGATATAAGAAAGCCAGATATAAGAGAGATTTTCTCTGGTCCCAAATTAGAGCCTGTGTTAATGTAAACAAAATAGACCAAACCCAGATATAAGAGACTTCTCCAGTCCTGACAACTCTCTTATATCCGGGTTACACTGTGTGTGTGTGTGTGTGTGTATGTGTATATATATATATATATATATATTAAACAATTTTGGGGGAAAGAAGTATGACAAAATGGGAAAATGTTTTTGTGACATATATCTAGGATTAATGCAAATATAAAATTTGTCACTTAGGTGATTGATGTTATATTCAGCACTGTGACTCCAGAGTTTTGGGGACAAACCTTTCTGTAATAGTTTGGTCCACTCATTAGGAGGTTTCAGCAATTGACTGCCGATTTTCTCATAAAATTTATGCACTTTTTATTGGTGCTAGGTTGGTTTTTTTTTTTTTTTTTTTTTTCTTTCTTTTGGCCCTAAGAGAGAGAAAGACATTTGACTGTGCTCACTTCATGACTGCTGATTTGTTTTTTTCATTTTCATTATGTTCGTATTAAGTTAAAAATAATTTATGTGCTTTTTATTATTGTTAGGTTGATATTTATCTTTTTTGTTTGTGTGCATATGCATGTACATGTTTGTATGTGTAGACTGTTGTGGTTATCTCTCCTTTCCATCATTCTTTTCTCTCCTTATACCCTCTCCCTATTCCTTTTTTTTTTCTCTCTCTCTCTCTCTCTCTCTCTTTCGACTCTTAGAAAAGTATTTGACTACTTTCACTTCATGGAACATTCAGTGAGGAACAAAATTACTACATGGATTGCAAAGCAATTACACTAATTACTCTGAACACCAAGTGCTTAAAGATGTAAGGTATTTACTAAGCTTGGTACAAGGTCATGAGGGTGTCATTATTCAGTAATAATAATATAGGGGACAGGTTGTTAAACTTAAGATATCCAATGATTCACTGCAGAAATTTTCATAGGCTGATGATACTTGCATGCACAATGTCACATTTTTTGCATGCACCAAGTAATTTGTCTTCATTTCAGCCATTTTAAATGTTTGTACAGCATGGACAGAAAAACCCCAACAGACTTGTGGTGGAATTAAAATTCTTGTAAGAAACCATCATATCATCAAGAAATTTTGTACCTGTTTGCATGCAATTCATGTGCTGACAAAGGGAAGACAGGTGAATACCTGGCTCTTACTCAGCAAATTAAAACCTGATAGATGTCCATAAGCAGTGTTGTTTAACTTTTTTTTATCTATTCACCCTAAGCAAAATGATAATGCCATTAAGACACAAGAGGCTACTGGGAGTGAAAGAGAATGAGCAAACTTTAGAAGGAACTGGAAACCCAATCTTAAACAAGGAACAAGAGATAAAACTCTACTTCTGTTCAAAAGACCAGGGCGGAGTGTTAACCAGATGATCTATTTACTCTTATTGGATAAAACGCTTAGGAACATTCAGTAAATCCATTGGTTGTCTTTCTAGAATCTGAAGCTAAAGAAGACATCGGCATTCAAAAGATAAAGTGGTATTTATGTATGACCCTGCTTCAGTTTTGTGGAATAATTGGCCATGGATAAGTAATTGACAAAATTCTCAACAAGCGGAATTGACAAAGTTTTCAATAAACAATAAGAAAAGGGTGGTAGAATAGAGCAAAAATTGTGTGTATATATATATATATATATATATATATATATATATATATATATATATATATAATGCAAGTCAAAAGCAAACTAACTGAAATAAAGCAAAAAAGTTCACAAAGTAAAATTATGTTCACACGCAAAAAGTGATACAGTCAAGTGATTAGAGCATTCTGACTTCAAGGCAAGAAAGAACAAATATGTGGGAATGAGACAGAATTGTCCCATTTTATTGGTCAGGAAGAAATCCCAACATATATATCAATAATTCAAACATTCCTTGTGTTTGAAGGTGTGAAAAAGAAAAATAACTTTAATGTTATTTCATTCCTTATATATGTAGCAAAAATGATATTCCTGTCCTATCCAAGGTTTTAAAAATATACAATAATTAGGGCATTACCAATATCTGCTAGCAGACAGGCATTTTCTCTTTTTCTGTTTTCTTCCCCCTCTCAAAGAGGTTCCACCTAAATGGTTTGTGAATTGAAAATCCTAGTAATGAGTAGATTTAGATTTTTACCTCTATTTATATAGAAATACATCTTTTATTAAAAGGTTGGCTGGGATTTAGGGTCAAAAGTAAAGCTCATACAATTGATATACAACTGGTTATTTGCTTTGAATTTCTCATTTTCTAAAAAAGAAATTATTAAATCTTATTTAGTGAATATTAAGCAAAATATTTACTTGATATTTCATAAAGAGACTTAGTTTTATAACAGCAAACATAGACATAATCAGTCTGTTTCACTCTTTACATGTTTCTTCATTTCTTTTTCTTTCAGGTCTCCAGTAGTGAATCTGGTTCAGTACATAGTTCACCAGAACCTTCCAAACAACAAACCAAAAAATCTATGAAACCCAATATGAACCCTTCAAGGTAAAGAGTGTTTTTATTATTTAAAGCAGACAATTAATTTTCACTCCTTGTTCTGAAAATGTCTAAATTTTAACTGGTTGTAAAAACATTCATTTAAAAGCGGGCACAAATTTATTCTGATATTTTTTCATTGTCTGTGAAGAGGAAGTTGTAAAATATTATTCAAATCACATTTCTTCTTTGTATTTACAAAGAAAAATCATGAATACTAATCAACAATTGTAGGAATAATTGGACATGGTTAAATGTAGTTAAGAAAATTTTCAAACAATAAGAGTGGGGAGTATGGCACAAAATAGTATGAGAGTGCATGCATGCACGTGTGTGTGTGTGTGTGTGTGTGTATGTATATATATATATATATATATATATATATATATATATATATATATATATATATATACAAAAATGGATAAATTGTTGCCATTTTATATTTTTAATTTTGTCAATCTGGGTTGTTTTGATTTTGTTGACTGCACGGTGTGGTAGGGTTAGTTGGGCAGCATCTGTGAGAAAAAGAGCCCTATGATGCAATTCACACTGCCAGAAATTTGGAAATGGCATACTGTACTGCTTGGTATTCATGCCGGAAACTCCAATATGAACATTTCAGAGTGTTTGGGTGTCGATCTGAGGGCAATGCAAAGGACTCTGAAAGAGTTTGATGAGTCTAATGGCAATTATGAAGTTGTTTGGATTGATCACTAAGGGAGGTGATGTTATGCTTCCATTCACCTTCCCACATGGACTCACTCAACACAGAGGCCTACATAAAGTGGCTTAAGGAGCTAGTACTGCCCTGGGTCAAGAGGGTGGCTGCTGGAAGACCCTATATTTGGCAACAGGACTCTGTGTCATGCCACATAAGTAACACCAAAGATGAACTGAAGGAAAGGATTATGGCAGCGTTCACCAACTAAAACAAGGAGACCATCCATAAGAGTTACTGGATATTTCAAAGGAAGCTGTGATTGAAGCCAGTCATTTAGATGACAATTTATCCATGTATATATGGGATATACTATAAATTAATGGTTTCTTGGTTAAAAAAAAAAATACATGCATAAACCTATACAGGATATCTACAACATTATTACTACATATATTTTTGGTAGTTTATGAAAACATACTGTTTGGAAATTAGTGTTTTTTCCTCTTTAATATTTTCTCTGTTTGATTTCGGTGTTTACCTGTGGGGCCCCTGTGGTGTATCTTTTCAATGACTCCCAACAGGATGTTTTCCTGATCACTACAATCTTGACCTCTTCAAATCTAGGTTTAATTGTTCCTGCATAACATCATGAACTTCACTTTTTGCCTTTGCTTACACTCATACAACACCGAACAGTAATCCTCTACCTTGAGTGGCTCTTGGGCTTTGTATTGAGTGAACATTAATATGCAAAAATGGAAAAGAACATAGATATATTTTGATAATAGAAAAATGTAATTTTAATATCTCTGCTTGTAAGTCATTTTATCCATTTAAGAATCAAAAACTCGAAGAAAAAAGTCATTATTGTTCATTTTCAACAGTCTTGTGATAAAAACAATATATCATCTATGCCAAAAATATTCCTCTTTTTCTCTCGATATTCTACTCAATTTTATCTGCATAATCGACATTTTGATTATCTCATTGTGGTGTAATGGTCAGTAATTGTAAATTAGCCTGTGCCAAAACAAAAAGTTATGCTTTGTAAATAATTTGGAAAAATGAGTATAACATCATTTTTGTATTTCTAAGCATGTCAGAATGCCTACAAAAAAACATAGCCCCCATAGAAAAAAGTATTTGAAAAGTAAATCTGAGCCCATAACAGTTGAGAGTTCAATCTTTGGATCAGGGAGTTCAGAAATATGTCATACCGGGTGCGATGGATAAATTGTCGTCTAACTTGAACAAAAATGAAATTAACACTGACATGTCATCTTAACAGGTATATTTACAAAAATTACACAAAAATATCTTGAAATACTAAAGAGCAAATTTATTCAATAAAATCACCATTGGCTTCAACCATGGCCTCCAGACAACTTCGGAATCTCTTGCAACTCTTCTGGACAGTCTCCTTGATTAAGTTGGGGAATGATGTCATAATACTTGCCTTTAGTTCAACTTTGGTGTTACAAGGAGTTTTGTTGCTCTCTTGCTCAACTGCACCCCACACATAATAGTCAAAAGGGTTACAGTCTGGGGTGTTAAGTGACCAGATGTAAGGGATCATGTGGTTGTATAAATTGTCTGACAGCCATGACTGGGTTCTCCTGCTTGTGTGGCATGGTGCAGAGTCCTATTGACCCAAGGTAGCACTACCTCCTCAAGTCACTTGATGTAGGCCTCAGTGTTGAGTCTGAGGCCTTCACCAACAAATTCAGTAGTTATTTTCTTATCTCTTATTTTTTAATGGATTATTCGCTATTTTATTGAGGTTAACCTGTAAGTGTTGTCTGTAGGTGAGAAATGTGAATATTTTGGTAGTGATTATATGAATGATTAAACTGATATATTTTCTTTTCCAGTAAAAAGAAAGATAAAAAGAAACACAAGGCTTCCAAATCACCTTTGAATAAGAGCAAAAATGCTCCATGTCCAGACCAGATGCCAAAAGAAAAGGAAAAGAAACGGTAAGGAAAAAAAAAATTGCTGTTGACGAATTTTTCAGACTGGCAGTGGAGAAAGAAAATAAAATACATTTATTGGGTGGATGAAAAGATAATTGTGGTTTTGAACAATCACCTTTTTAAAGCAGTATATCTTCGGATGGAATAAAATTTGTTTATCAAAATAACAATTGTTGCCACCAATGAAAGTGTTTATTCCAGTAGCCTAGAATTCTGAATTCTTGGAATCAAGAACATTTTCAGACAGTTTGAGCGGCTTTTTGTTTTTCCTTTTTAAGACAGGAAATTGCTGAGATGCTTGAAAAAGTGTTAGCGAGTCAAAGAGAAGTCAGGTGAGTAAGTTGGGTGAGGTAATTTTGCAGACCATTTCATTCAATTTCTGTACTCATCTGCAAAACATTGTCATAGAGAAGGATTGGTTCATTTTCGTTAACCAGTATAAGGATATAAGAATTACAGGTTTTATTGATTTCCTGGCAATACTTCTCTGCTGTTCTGGTTTCACAAGGATCCAAGAAATTGTAGTAGATGATTTCCCTCATCAGCCATAAGTTTTGATGTTGTTTTTTTGCTTCACCTCAGATCAGCCACCATGCAGAATGCCATCAAAAGTTATTATTTTTTTCACAATACAATCTAAAAATGAGTTACTTCTTGCTGTGCAAAAGAAATGCAGGCTTCATAATAGCATTTTTTTTTTTTCTTTTTCATTTGCTTCTGGCAACATCCATTTTTTTTAAGCCTTTTTGATTTTCCAATTCAATTCAAAAATTCAATGGTTAACATCTAGTTTTCATACAAACTCTGAAGTTGCTTTGCATGGATTGAATAATGGCCCCCACAATTTGTTGTTGTCAATCATAGATGATTGTCTGCAACTCTTATATTTAAGGCTCTTATCTTTGTTTAACATTGAGCTTTTCATTTGTTGATGATCTAACCAAATGCTTGCTTGATACTGTGATCAGTTTCCACTGTTTTCATCCCATTTTGAACACCTACAATAACATTGCTCTCATCTACTTTTTTTTAATTCCCACTCTGACATGTTTAAAATAAGAATAAACAAGAAAAATAAACACGTATCAATAGGACATAATTTATTCTAAAATAAACATCACAGTTTAAAATATAAAAAAACAACTATTTTGACATAAACATTTTTGGTTACAGTTTTTCCTTATATGCATAAAAATAAGACTAATTTCATTTTTCTGTATCATGCTATCACCACTTTGTTATGCATAGAAGGTGTGAAACAATCAGATTTTAGTTTGCTTTTAACATATTAAATCAATTTTAGGTGCCAATATAGAACCTAGTTTTAGATGTCTTAGATTGTCTTTAAAAGGGAGCAAAGACGAAGGTTTTTACTGCATTTAAAGTATCCACCATCCATATATATTAGATAGCTAGTCATAAGAAATTAATTAGCACTGCAAGTTCTCTCAAAACAAAAGTAACTATATGAAGAGTTGTTTAAAAATATATTGGTCAGTTAAGTGTCATACATGATTCACACTTGGGCAATTATTTCTCTTTCAATTCATAACTAAGCAGAAGATTTTTCTGCCATTTTTTGTGGTAGACTGGTTATCAACCAAGGCTATAGGTCTATTTTGCTATTCAACCTATAGCTGGGGGAAAAGAGATTGATCCATGCCTTTCCCAACTGTATTTGCGCACAAGTGATTGTAATGAACCCAACTGGAATTTGAACTCATCTTTCCAATTTCTCATTCAAAGCCAATCTCCAATACACCACACCGTGCATCCCATATGCAGAAGTTATTTAACTGATACAAGTAAACAAAATATATTCATGTTATTCATAAATACAGTGTATATGATTTTATAAATGGGAACATTTAAAAAAAAAAAAAGAAGAAACAACATTCATGTTTAATACAGTTTTCTTTATTATTTACTACAAATAGGATTAACGCTTTTTTATGGGTGTATGTATGTATATATGTGTGTGTGTGTATGTATATATATATATATATATATATATATATATATATATATATATATATATATATATATATATATATATGTGTGTGTGTGTCTGTGTGTGATATGTCCCAGAAAGGGATATATTTGATCGAAGTAGCTGAGTGGTTTTGGCTACTGTAACAAAGTAGTACACAGTAGCAGTAATCAACTGGTACTCATCATAGTCGCAGGTAATAGGCGTAGACCAATAGGATAGCCAATGGGGTAGTCCAATGGGCGTCGTCATAGACTTAAACTCTGTCATACCTACATGTCCATCTGTATTTATGACGGGCACTAGCCAATCATATTCCATTGAGGGGAAACTCCGGTGTATGCATATTCCATTATATCAGTATGTATGTGTGTATTCTCAGTATATCTGTAGAAGTCAAGGCATCTGGAGGGCACAAATTTTTCTAATTCAAAGCCTGGTAAAAATTATAGTGAGCAATTTTTATTTTTATTTTTTTTAATGAATATTGTGTGGATTGTGATTAGATTGTTATGGTATGAGATGGATGTATGTGCTGTACATCTTCAAAGGCTAAAGTGATGGATTTATACAATTTTTTTATGCATTTGTTGTGTATGTTGGTTTGGGAAAGTAGCAATTCTTTCAGGAAATGTGAGATTTGAAAAAACTTGGGCATAGATTGATATTTTGATAATATTTGATGGATGGATGATATCTAGAAAGGGAAGATATATTACAGAGAAACAATAGTGAACCCAACTTTGATGTTTACAGAAAAACTATCAACAGACTGACCTGATCAACTTCTACTCAAACCACTCCTATAAAATTAAATTTGGTATAATTATAGGTTTCTACTTAAGAGCTTTAAGAATTTGCAGCCCCCCAATACCTACCCAAAGAAGAAATACACATTCAAAAACCTTAAATATCCTTATCACTTCATTGGCAATGCAAAGAGAAAGGCACAAAAATACATGACTGCAACAAAATAACATTATCCACAATAATAAATTAAACAAAATAGATACATAACACTACCTACCAACTCCATAATATCCTCTATCCAGAACAACTTATCCCATCTAAACAATGTCCAAATAGTCATAAGCACTTCCAAAACTGTTCCTCACAATACATTGGGGTAACATGTAGAAATTAAAAAATGTATCTATGAACACAAAACAGGCCTCATAAATAACAATTTAACAAATGCACTAGTCATACACAGAAATAAATTTGATCACAATTTTCATTTAAAAAATGCCACACTCATCAAAAGAGAATGTAATTTACTCAGAAGGAAAATCCTTGAGAGTGTCGCCATCAAATATCAAAATATCAATCTATGCTGTGTTTTTTCTCAATCTCCCCTTTCTCCACATGCTTTGACTGATCTTTCAACCACCTGATGAATATTCATGAACATTCTCAAAATTACAAGCCTTGATAAATCAATGACATCCTTGCCTCTGTGTATATAAACGTGTACAGCATAATAAATCCTACATTACTTTGATAAAGTCCCTCAGAGAACAAAACATATCAGCAGAGTATACTTTTTTTTATCATATATATATATATATATATATATATATATATATATATATATATATATATATATGAGGATAGAATTCAGATAGAGCTCAATCTATAAGACAGAGCAAGAGGATAATATAAAAGGCTCAAACACTAATATTCCATGGTTATAATTTATTACACTGGAATCATAATCACAATCCAATTCATCAGACTTACAAATTCAAAATGAAAACAGAAAATATAACTCCGGGTATAAAAAACAAAATTTCAGTGAGAGTGAGAAACAAGGGTGAAAGGAAAAATGTATGAAAGCTCTAGAGAGGGATGTAATGTGTTAGAACAAGAAAGGTCTTAAGGTGAGGGTGTGGAATAAAGTTTAAAAGAGAAAGAAGTTAATTAACAGTTTAAATGAGTGAGATACAGATAAATATGAGTTATTATTAGCATAAATCACTTGATTCACTGAACTAAAATTAAAAAGCAGACACTGGAAACATGGATACATTTGTGGTGACATTAGACACAGTAAATGATTAGATGATCTAAATTTAAAATCTAGCCAATTTACACTGATAATGTATATATGAAAATTTGTCGTCTGGTTTGTATTTACTAACCTTATGTATACATAAAAAGAGAAGATGAGAGAGGAAGAAAAGCCGCCGCCCCCCCAAAAAAGAAAAAACAAACTAAAACAGGGTCATTTATAAGAGAAATGATGTGTAATCAAGAACAATTTGAAAAAGCATGTAATTTTCCCCTACAGATTACAAATTTAACATATAAAATATTTAATCCATTGAAAACCTTACTATTTATTACCACACATGTGCGCACATACACATATATATATATATATATATATATATATATATATATACACACACACACACATGTGCACACACTTCCTGAATCCCAAAGATGATCAAAAGCAAAATCATGAAACATACAACATGAAATGCCAGAACATTCCAACATGTAACAAGCTGCTTGAACCTTTTGAAGGAGATCTGCTTAATTTAATTAAGATTAAGTTCAGGAATTCTTCCAATTACTTCCAATCTAAAATTAGTAAAGACATTAAAAACATAAAAAACTCAAAAAAAAATTATAAATTAAAGCTGATAAATTCAAAACTATCTATAAAATGAAACTTTCTGAATATAACAAACTCATCACTAACAAAATTACCAGCACTTATAAGAAACACAAGGACAATAGCACTTTATCTTCTATTGATGAAAACATCACCAAATTTGCTAACAAATGTGCAGTTGCCTCTAGAATGGGTAACTTTAATATAAAAAACGCATACATGCTATTCAAAGATCATAAATCTAACTTTATCAATAGCTTACAGTCCCATTTAATTAAGCCCTCAAAATCTGAGTCGGGATTAATTTCTAAAAGCATTCTTAAGAAAATAACAACATCTGTGCTAGATAAATATTCTGCCAATCTTCGGAAAGACTCAGCAGAGACAATTAAA